AAATGACTGGCAGCTATGGCTGCCAAACAAAAACCGTAAAATTAAAGTAAAATAATTTTTTTTTCTGTAAAACCTTTAATGAAAATTTCTGTAAAATTATTGTTTTGTACTTTATTTCAATTAAGATATTTTACTTTAATTTTACGTTTTTTGTTTGGCAGCCGTAGCTGCCAGTCATTTACCATTTTGTACGAGTTTTTTTTAAAGTGTATGTCTGCATTTTTTGGGAGTTTACAATTGTGCTAAGTAGAGCTTCTGATTAGGTCGAGGATGGGTCTGTAAACGTTAAGACTACATGCTACTTTATTTAGCATTAACTGCAGTTGTTGATGCTGTGATAGTTTTTGTGTTAGCCTAAGCACATGCATGTGTGTTATTGTTAACTGGACCATTGAAGCACTTAATTTACTGGAGTAACACTTATTTGGTCTTTTTAAGGCAAGTTGCAGTAGGCCTAAATGTTACATTAGTTATAGCTCACCTGAAATAAATGAGTTATTTGGAATACACACCTATTATATTTAACTTAAAATTAATTAGTTGTTGAAAGTAAAAAATGTTTTTAATAAGTTTTTAAGGCAATCGGTTTGCATGCTTTTTAGTAAGGTTAACTAATTAGACTTCCCAGGTGAAAAAGACGTAGTATTAAATGTATTAAAAATATACTTGAAATTCAAGTAGTATGTTTATAATACATTTGTATTCCCAACATGCTTATTTGAAGTGCAATAAAAATATATTGAATTGCATTTTAATATATTTCTAAAAAGTATACTAGAAGTACTTTTGTATTAAATATATGCTTAGTTATACTTCTAAGAAATATGCTAAACAGAAGCATACTTTTAATGTATTTATAAAAAGTATACTAGAACTACTTTGGTAATAAATATATGCTTACTTACACTTTTAAGGAATATGCTAAACACAAGCACACTATTAGTATATTTCTAAAAAGTATAGTAGAAATACTATGTTAATAAATATATTTTTAGTTACACTTTTAAGGGATATACTAAACACAAGCATACTTTTAGTGACTTTTTAGTGAGCTATTCACTTATGCTCTTTGTTTTTCGGTCTTTTTTATGTATTTTTTTTCTTCAGAAAATTGCATTGTAATTTTTATTTATTCATTGATGTAAAATTCTGTACTTTTTAGTAAGGCCGGTATAACTGAAATGTTCTACAAATGGAAAAGATAGCTCCGCCATAGCATTTCAGTCTTTTTTTTATTTATGTTTTTTTTATGATGTATTAAAATGTACTTGAGTATGTTTGTAGTAATACAAATATACTATAAACATACTTGTATTTCAAGTGCATTTTTAATACATTTAATAGTATGTTTTGTTTTGTTTTCACCAAAGTATATATGTTGCTGTCCTTTTTTAGTGTACTTTATGAATATTTGTAATGTACACAACAATATATAATACATTAAAGTGTTCTAGATATCAAAGTGTGTGCGTGTGTGTGTATATACTGAAAAAAGCAGCTTTATAATATACTAGTAGTGTAATGCTAATGCATTTCCAATGAGCTGAAATACAACTGAAATGTACTTGAAGTACATTAAAACGATGCTTCAAATATACTCTAACTGTAGTTCATGAAGTATCAAAAGGACATTTTAAGTTTTTTTTAAGAAATACACTTAAATTGCACTAAATATACTTAAAGTGGTTCCAATTTAACACAATTTCAATATATTAAATATATTACAAATAGATTAAAATCCAACTTAAACATATCTTGAAATACACTTAATATACTTAAAGTTGTTTCAAAATAATACATTTAATATGCACTTAGTATAGTATAATTTAAATATAGTAAGTATGTCTGAAAAAGCACAATTTAAATATATTTCTTTCTCACCTGGGTTTACAACGTACGTATTAGCATCGGTATTTTTATCGTAAAGAATAGGGTAAAATGAGCTACCCCTTGTTTCTAGGCAACCATAACCAAAGTAAATGTTCAACTGCTATGGTTCATTCATATGTGGAGAAAAAAAGCACATGGTAAACGTTCTTAATGTCCAAATATGTTATTTTTTCTTTCGAATTGAATTCCATTAATGTCCAGATGTATAACAATTTAGAAAAAAAAAACTGAAATTGAAGAATTCTTTAAATACACTAATTTAGTTTTAAAGACCGTCCACGTTAACTTTACCACGGTTAGGAGGTCAAATTTTGGATACAATTTAATCAATCACAAGCCCGCTGCGATTACTTTGTGACTAAAATAAAGAGGACAGAGCAAAAATATAGGGGAGTAGGAGGAGGATAGAGGAGATGAGAACCGGACACGTTGTGCTTTTCCGCCGTCTCCCAGCGGAGTGTAATATCGTGGCTCCTGCGCGCTGACACGCGCACCTGGAAGTGCCGCTATGCTGCTCGCAGCGCTGCACCAATTATAGCGCAACATCTCGCTCTGCCGTTACCATAGTAGCGCCGTGCTCCTGTTCCCCTGGAACGAATGAACCTTGGGGGAGCGAATAGCTTATCAACCATCGCCCTGGTTACTGCGCTCTCTCTACGCGCGCCCCGTCGCTTGAGTGAGAGGCCAGAGCAGGCGCCCTAGCTGCAAATGTGTGTGTGTTTTGGACAGAGCTGCAGACGTGAGCACAAAAGGGCTTGGGTTATGTTGATAAGACTGAAGGAGCCTTTGCAGCGTCCCTCAGCCACTCTGTGATCGTGGGCCATCATTTCATACGTGCACACCCACCCTAAATTGCACGCTAACGAATCTGATTTGCTCGGATATAAAGATTCGACGTCGCATGTGGGGCAGGGCGGTGTTCAAATCGTTTCTGATGGCCGTGCACCTGGAGGAGAACCCTTCTCTACGCAACCCCCACACACTGCGTTTGCTCTCTCCCCATGCGGCCCTCTGGCTCGCTCGCTCTCATCGGATTGATGGCCACGAGGAGTGAGACAGACAGACGCGGCCTGCAGAGAGAGAGAGAGAGAGAGAGAAAAGAAGCTTTCACACTCTCATTCACTCCTACACTACGGACAAAAATATCACGCTCAGTTCACTGGTTTAACCCACCTACAACACACACACACACAAACAAACACACATACACTCACTCTCACTCTTGCACAAGGTTCAGTCAGAGGAAAATTATGAGTGCTCATTGATTTCACCTCACATGACTTACTCTGTCCATGACTTTCTTTGTGAACCATTAAATAAGCATGTTTGAAAGAGCTTAACATCAAGTAATAATTGTTCATTTAAAGTGGTTGTCACCATGCAAATGCTATAGAATATGACATTTAAACAACAACTATAGAAATGTTTGGTTTGCACCTTGGTTTATTAAATTGAGGACTGCCAAGACCTCAGAATGGTTGGCTTTGGACACAAATACATGCATTCATTTACGCAGACCGATAAATTTGGCCCCATACGGCATGGAAATGGCGTGCTGTTGGACTTTGCCTTGAAATAATTTTGGTACTGTGCATTTCACTCAATCTAGATCAGTATTTAAACTGGGGCGAACCTGTTCAGTAGGATTTCAGAATGAAGAAGCAAAAAACCCCCACTAAAATGACAATTACAGCTAAAAGAAAGTCAGTTATCCAACATGGTGTCCGTGTCATGTGGATGGCCTTAAGCCCCTTTCACATGAATAGCATCAAGGATTCGATCCATGTCTCAACACAAGCGTCTTATGCTTTGACGCTTACATGAAAAGATACCATTACAGAAAGGTGATTTTACACGGTTGCTGGGAAGAAAGAAACCAGAGAACCATTCACAATGAAAATGAAAGAGCTCACGTGTGTGAGCTTAAAACAGAAAGAAAATCGCTTGTCAAACAAGAGTTCTTGAAACTTTTCTCAAAATGCTTTAGATAGAAGTTGTGTCGTACAACTCAATGTGTCGCAATAGTGAATTGTCTGGTAATCCTTGTCTATATTATGAAATCTAAACAACAAAAGGGGTTAAAGTTGAAACTTTGAGTTTCATAGATTGAAGCTTGCCACTTCACACTAGTTGTTCAATGGCGTAAACCATGTGAAAAGGACTTAAAGGAGTACTGGAACTCAGGTCTTGGGGTAATTCAGCAATAAAATTCATCATAATCATAGAAATATTATCATAACACATCAATAATTTCCTGAATTTTGGAGGCCCAGGTCTGCTAAGGACCATGTCTTCCATTTGACCAATCCCATAAGGCTACAAGAAAAAGGAGGCAAGTCCTACGCATAGCTGGTACACAAATACACCATCATCTGGTCTACATAGTGTAGTTCCATCAGCTTCACCTTCCCTCCAATCCCAGCAGGCCTACAGCATTTAAAAACAAACAACCAGAACGACAAACCCAAAAGGACCTTTCAAGCATGTTTGAAGTAAGGGATGCTACATTGGAGCGTTTTTTACGGTCGTCTTCGTATCAAATATTGAGCAACTTGAAAAGTGAATGACAAATTAAAAAACAAACAAACAAAAAAAATCGTAACATTGAGGCAGTCAGTAAGAACCACTGTGCTAAATTACAATAGTGCTCCTTAATTATCACAAGCTTTAAAACAGAGCCTTGGGATTACATTCTCTAAACGAAATTACGGCATTTCTCCACACATGGACAAACAAAACCACTAAACACACAAATAAAAATGATTGTCCGTTTTCCATTTGGCGGCAAATAGTTCCAGAGCATCCAATAAAGGGCAAGAATCCGGAGTAGAACTCAGATGGTTCCGAAATGGAACACAGGAAAAAAGAAAAACGGAATGACATTCTGCCATTCACTGTTTATTTTTGGTTCAGGACATGTTCATTCTCAAATAGTGCTTTCATTCTGTTCTTCGTTTGTTTTAGTTGTTTGTTTGCACCCAGTGTTTACAAGCCCCACAGCTTTCCGAGTGGGAGTGGCGTCACCGTCCATCGGGAGTCCTTCATTATGGGATGGAAGTCATGGGGGGAGGGTCCAGCTGCCCTACGGAAACCATCGGAAAGGAGCTCCGGTTGGCAGCATCACCTTCTTGGAAAGACAGAGGAAGGAAACAAGGAAAGAAAACAACGTGAGTTATTGATAATTTGACATAAACACCAACAGTGGAGCAACAAGGAAATGGGAAATGTCTCATTAAACTGGACTCTCGACCCTCATCTCCAGACCTTTTCCCTTTTCTGTTTCAAATCCCTCTCTTTCTGTGGAGCTAGACTTGCTAAGACCGTAAAGGGCTGAAATACCGCAGTGGTGCAATTGGCAGATTTTTTTCCCAGCCTGCTTTGGGACTGGGCAGGGGTAGTCTTTGGCTGTGGGACTTTGGGAGAGTGGAGACAACGGCAGCGTTTCCTGGGAAGACGTCCAGAATGAAAGAACGAAGGACCGAGGGAGAAAAAGAGGGAGGGGAGCGTTCCCTTCATCATGAAGTAACATGCACAGGCAATGATTTCACCTTACATGACCTAGTCCCTCTCTCTGTTTCCCAAACACACTCTCCCACAGTCCCGCTCTCTCATTACTCTCGGACAGGGCTTTGGCGTTTGTACGCGCGCACATACGCATCTAGACCCCCTTTTCCCTCATCGACCCCATAGACAAGCCAACACAGATGGGCTGTCGGCCCATGTACATGGCCAATCAGACAGAGCGTGACTGCATGGACACACACACACACACACACACACAGACACACACACTAATTATGTTGAAACATGTATGAGTGCATCTCTAATGAACATACAGTAGACAAAATGTGAGTGGTGTTTGCTTGTACAGAAGTCGTCGCCACAATGCTAAGGTGTTATGGGTTGTTAGGGTGGTGCTATGCAGTACTAAGGACTTGCTATTCTTTTTTAAAGTGTTTTTCACTCTTCTCCACAAGTCATGATTTGAGATAACAGTTATGTCTGTAGCACAAACAGTATGAGCAATAGTAATAGTGATATTTGCTTTAGCAGACACCAGAAAATAAATGTCCAAAGAGTGTATGTAAATGTAAGCAGGTACTGATGTATGTTGATATAGTGTGTGTCGACCTGTCTTTGGCTCTCTCACACATACACAGACACTGACACACACGCTGTTCCTAAAATACTTCACCCGTAATAATAATAATAATAGTTAATAATTTAAAAATAATTGGTTTTTTGTTGCTGTTTTTGCAGTTATATTGTTTTAGATTTTTGACAATAATAATTAAATGACCATTATAATACAAAATAAAAACATAATAGGCATTATGAGTATTTTAATAATAATAATTATTATTAATATTTTAATGCAATTATTTTTATTTCTATTTTTTGACAAAAATAAATTATTATTGTGCAAAATACAAACATGTATTTTGAATATTTTACTGATGTATGTTGATATAGTGTGTGTCGACCTGTCTTTGGCTCTCTCACACATACACAGACACTGACACACACGCTGTTCCTAAAATACTTCACCCGCCTGGCTGTGAGACTGAGATTCCTCTACAAGAGGAAGGGGTGGGGCCTCGAGGGCAATGTCTGAGGCCCCACCCACTCAATCTCCTTCTGCTTCCAGCTATATCAGGGACTTTCCGAGATACCGACCGCCACACGAACGCAGTGAGATGTGTCATCATGCAGTACACATACATCAACAAAAGTTGCAACCAATGACATGCAAGGTAAGATCAATGGCCAGAAATCGAATGGGATTTCCACAAAACACACACGCCTAACTTGGCTCAAAACACATGAAAGGCCCCTCATATGAAAACACATCTATCCATCCCAAACACACACACACATCAAGAAGTCAATAGACCCCCACACCACTGACTGTGACCTGTCAATAATGGCTCTTTAAACTCCATAAGTCCTCTATGCCTTATTCAACCAGACCAACCCTACTGTCAATAAAAGCACACAATACACACACACACCCAGATATATGCAAACTCACCATAAATATATGCCTAAAACATGTTAAAAACACACAAAGAAACATTTATTCAAACACACACACACACACACACATAACAAGCAGAAACCACTATTAAGACAAAGCAAACCCTATACACAAATGCAATATACGATATAAAAATGTCGCCAGCGACAGAACACAAATAAGACATTTCATGTTAATCTTGTAAATGATGGACTGGTGCAACTTATAATAAACATTTGTTTTCTCCAGAATATTCATTTTTAGAACTAAAAAACTGATTCAATGTCATTGTGTAATGTCATCTAAGCAGTAGTGATGTTCATACGTGTTATTAGGGCAACTACATTTACATTTATGAACTAGGCTGGTGCGTTTTTCCAAAGTGATTCACATTGCATTCAAGGCACGCATGATATCAGTTCATGCATTCCCTGGGAATCAAACCCATGGCCTTGTCATTACTAGCGCCATGCTTTATTGTTAGAGCTACAAGAACTGAACACCAGCTAGTGACCAACCAGAACCGGACCTAGCAACACGCAGGGACAGTCACTGAGTGTGTGAACAGGATTTTAGGCAACAAATACACTCTACACAAGTATGCAAATGCACCAGAAGCGCACTGTCCCAAAGCGCTTGTGTCTTTTGCAGCATCTTGCGCATTACACATCATTCTAAAAATGTGGCACTCAAATGTAACTTTTGACCCTCTAGCATTTGAAGCATAAAACTACTAACTTACAGAAGAACATTGTGTTGGTCATTATGGGAGTTGTGCTTTGGTTCTGCTATTCTGCACGGATGAATCTGATGGCTTTAGGCGCACCACTGTGCCCATGGTAACAAATGATTGCCTTATCAATGTGAAAATAAAGGCCTATATTTTCATATACAGGCAAAAAATATAGAAATATAGGCAAACAGACCAAAGTAGTAACTGGTTTAGAGACTGGCATTGTTACCAAAAAACTTTGGATTGTGAACCTAGTCAGTGCACAGCAAATGTGATGCTATACATATATGTTGATTCGTGTTTTATTACGGATATTGTTGCTTTCCCTTTCAGCTTACAAACTCATTTCAGTTCGAGATTCAAGTTGTTGTGGCTTCAAGCTACTTCCACTGCATACAGTAGTAGCCTGAACTTCTTTTATTTATTTACAGATATGACGTAAAAAACAAGCACATCTGTCCCGACGGGTCTAAAATACATACTTTTTTTATTCCACTGCCCTGATTCTCGCGTTTTTGAAAACATTTAAAAACATAAAACATTCCGTGTTAATCACCTCTTAAAGGGGTCATATGATGTTGCTAAAAAGAACATTATTTGGTGTAATGAAATGTGTTTATGCGGTTTAAGGTTAAAAAAACACATTATTTTCCACATACTGTACATTATTGCTTCTCCTCTATGCCCCGCCTTTCTGAAACGCGTAGATTTTTACAAAGCTCATCGGTCTGAAAAGCGAGGTGTGCTCTGATTGCCCAGCTATCCAGTGCGTTGTGATTGGCCAAATACCTCAAGCATGTGAGAACGAGCCGTTTTAGGTAGGCGTGGTTGACTCTTAACTTTTATAAAGAATATCTCTTTGGATTTGAGACTTTAGTCTTTGCAACTTTACAGATCTTCTTTATGCACCAAGAGCTTGTAACACTCCAAAGAGAAAGGAAAAATTGAAATCGCATCATATGACCCCTTTAAGAATTACCTATCCATAAACATATTTACAGTGTAACTTACTTTAAATTGCTTAGTGAGATTATCTTGAAACTGTTTCCTGCCATGACAGTAGTTGACCTGAAAGTCACTACAGATTTATGCTAATGCTCTATAGTGCCCCTTGTGGCAACATATTTGTTTTACATTATAGATTATGAATGCTACAAAATGTGAAAATGTAGCTAGAAGCGTTTGAATTCACATACTTGCATGTGTGTATTTTGAGCCTAAGACTTCATAGAGACACAAACACAAACACACACAAAATGAGCCCTATAAGCTCTGGCACATACCAACACCTCAAATCTTTACCTCCTCAGTGCTGTAATTCTCAAAGAAATCGGGCTGGTCAGTGGTCAATACACACACATAAACACAACCCCTCTCACACACACACACACAGTTCATAATGACTTTCACTGGGGCTGTGTTTGCCTCTTCCTGCAATGCTATACACACAAACAGACACACAAATGCGGTTCAGGGCCTCTGGAGGACGAGAAAGAGAGGGGTGCTGTGACACATTGACACCTGGCGCTCCAGATGACAGACGCAAAGGCCAGATGGACTATATGAGGCTGCCACATGCACACAGAGACACACACATGTACATGTGTGTATGTGAACATGCATGAAAACAAACTCAAATGCTGTAAAAAAAACAAACAGCCACACAACATGTATGAAAGGCCCTATGTGCACATTCACAAATAATTTTTATTACCTGTTCCTGAGTCAAATATTTAGAACAAGTTTGCTAGCATCAAGTAAAAAAATGGACACATTTACCGTTATTTTTATTTTTTCAGCAACTTTATATTTTTGCAGCGAAATCCAGTAATTGCAATTTTTACATAAATTTAATTAAAAAGGCAAAATTACCGTTTTATTTCCAGTCATATGCAATGTGATGAGGTCATGTGACAACAGTTTAACTTACTACAGTTTGAACCATTTATTGTGGAATAATGTCTACAGTTTTACTTACTATTTTTTAAAGACAAGTAGGCAGTTTGTTTTCTACACAGTATTCAGTTAGTAGTATGCTAGTTTTCCATTTCCAAACATATACATGATACGTAATAAATAGAAATAGAAGATATGTAATACATAGAAGGAGTGGTATGCTAGTATGCTATTTCCAAAGTCAGCTTTATGAATGGTTTTGGTGAGTTCAAGTCCTCCTGGGAAATTCGTAATTACAATGTCAAGTGCGTTCAAATCACTTTGGTCACAGCAAGACAGTGATGTACTTTTTTTATACATAAATTCAACAAGATTTTTAAACTCTACGTCTACTAAATGAAGAATGCGCATTGGGATTTTTCAGCAAACTGAATTTTAATTGTAAAATTATATGGGATTTTGTATATGCAACTTAGTTTTATTGTAAATAATTTTTTTTTTTAATTTTTAACTAATTTACCATTAATAAAGATGCTGCATCCATTGCGTCAGACATGTTTTCTAACTGACAAGCCCCAACTCAGAAACTCTGGGTTTCCCAGTTGTAGTTACGACTTTGTGGTGACGTTCATGTTCATTGAGCTCATAAATACGATCTTTCTGACATCACTTGAAAGAACCATATGCTGTTGTCTTGGTGTGATGGGTAGCCCCGTCCACAGTGAAATCTCATTGGTCCAATGTCCCACATTCAGTACTTTTAGTAAAGACAGAACACTTAAAGGGGTCATATGATGCGATTTCAATTTTTCCTTTCTCTTTGGAGTGTTACAAGCTCTTGGTGCATAAAGAAGATCTGTAAAGTTGCAAAGACTAAAGTCTCAAATCCAAAGTATATAAAAGTTAAGAGTCAACCACGCCTACCTAAAACGGCTCGTTCAAAAATCGAAGCGTTTCAGAAAGGTGGGGCATAGAGGAGAAACAATAATGTACAGTATGTGGAAAATAATGTGTTTTTTAACCTTAAACCGCATAAACACATTTCATTACACCAAATACACAAAATAATGTTCTTTTTAGCAACATCATATGACCCCTTTAATGCTGGAAACTTGTGCGTTGCGGCTGGTTGGAACATGGTGTTTTTTCAACATTTTATATTCATCACATTCATTCAAATTTTATTAAATGTGATAGCTGAAACTCTGAATCATCTCATCATAGCAGACAGTGAAGGGGAACCTTACCTGTGGAACATCATGATGCCTTAACATTTTCCTTGCAAGAAAGAATTATGCAACCAACTAGACCAATCTTACCATGACACCAGTCTCGCAAAGTTAGATCCTAACTAGCTTACATCAGCACAGACCCAGAGCTAATTTTCCCACACCTGAACCTGCCTGTAAACAAGGCAGAAACATCTCAAGTTACGCTGCCTGAGAGATGGGAAACCACATTCAGCTTGCCATTTGTCAGGATAAGTAATGTTCATATACTGACATTTATGAAACACAAGCAGCATTAATGTCTATGTAAACTGTTGTAAAAACTAGGGCTTGTCAATCGATCAAACTCAAAAAATTCAGATTAACTGATTTAATCACAATATATGCTGAGAAATTTAAAGCCATTATATCACTGTGGCAAACAATACAGATTTAGGAGTCATGTACAGAGTTACATGATATTATTTAAATGTTGCGCTATATGCTCAAGAGTGAGTTGGACTTATTTGGTTGCCAGCTGGGTCATAATGCTTTTTTAAAAAGTGTCTTATTCTCACCAAGGCTGCATTTGTTTGAACAAAAATACTGTAAATAGCAATATTGCAAAATAGTATTACCATTTAAAAGAACTGTTTCTGCCTTAATATATCTTAAAATGTAATTTATTTCTGCGATGACAAAACTGAATTTTCGGCATCATTACTCCAGTCTTCAGTGTCACATGATCCTTCAGAAATTATTGCTGCTCAAGAAACATTTCTTATTATTACTATATTATTATCAATGTTGAAAACAGTTGTGCTGCTTAATATTTTTGTGGAAATAACAATTTATTTGAAAGGGAAAATTATAAAAGTCTTTACTGCGACTTTTGATCAATTTAATGAATTTGTGCATAATAGTGTAATGCAATTGTGCAAATTGCTCAGAAGGTAGAAAATACTTTGTTACAGAATTTACATATGTGTCAGAGCAGGTCATGATTTTACTGCATTAATAGTTTTATTGTGTTATTTATTTTTAACTTTAACTGCACTAAAATACATTAAACTGACAAATCTAGTGAAATCCATTATTAAATTAAATCCATAGTAAAGCCCATAATTTTCCATTAATCCATTACGTAAATGATTGCAATGAACTAAAATCAGTCATTTACACAAAACTGATTCCACAAATTATTTACTCAGAATTTGTTCTGCTTGTGTTTCACAACTTTTATTTTTGACATTTAGCTGTTTTTATCCACAGGGATAGTAGATCGAACAGGAAACAATAAGGAGATGAGGGGAGAGAATCAAGAAATTACGCAAACTTGCAACACCTGCATGAGCATCACAGCTCAACGTGTCAGAAGTGTGGCCTATATTATGCTGTGGTGCCCATGCAGATGATGCTAGCTTGCATTCAGGCAGCATTCAGTGATAATGTTTATGAATTTACTGTGCATTGCTCACCATCTTACCTCCAGCCCGCCAGCAGGTTTCTTTTTGAGCTCTTCGCACTTGCGGAACTTGCAGATCTGATGGCCGGTTTTGCGGTTGCGGCAGCTGCTGCACTGTTCGCAGTTAATCCTGCGCCGGCAAGGTGGACACAGGCCGCATCGCTTCCGCTTTTTCTTCCCATTGGCACTGATGGCTGAAGAAATCTCACTCTGCGTCTGCTGGTGTTCTGACGCACTTGTCACATGCGAGAGCGCCCCGTCGGCGAGGAAAACTCCCGCTGGCGTCATTATGAACAGCCCCGGGTGATAAGGAAAACTCCCTCCCACTCCGCCATTGCCAAGCAACGGGAAGTCCATCACACTGCCCAGCGAATCAGAAGCAGAGACCGTCTCCATGTCCCCACCAACACTGACATTGGACGGGTCACTGACGGGAAGCAGCATCCCCGCCCGTCGCAGGAGCTCGGCGGCCTGGGCGAGATGCAGGCCGCTCGGAGAGTCCAGAAGGCCAGACATCAATGCACCCCGGTCCAGTTTGGCGTACCCAACTTGTGACCTGTGCTGGCTAGCGGTAGGGTGAGCTTTGACACCTGCCGCCACCACTGAGCTCTGGGCGAGTCTGTTAGCGTTCGCGACACTGGCCACAGCAGCGGCCGAGCAGGTTGCGATGTACTGCGAGAGAGCTCGTGAACGCTTCAGGCTTTTGCTGAGCGGAGCGCTGATGATGCCGCTGCGGTTTCTCCGTTCCACCACCGGGGATGGGTCTTCATCCCCGCAGCAGCTGTCCTGCGCCTCCTCATCCTCTACGGCTCGACTTCCCTCCATGGGCCACGACGTGAGGGGGAGGGAGAGGGAGATGAGGGAGCTTAGGATGAACAGGGGATCGAGTTGCAATGTTCCTACAAAGACTGAAGCCAAGACGAGATTGACGCATGCACAGCTGGAGAATCAGACCACTGGAGCGGCGGTCCACACTAGTCGAGCCTCAAGAACATCTCACGGATCCGTTCACTAAGGCCTGAGAATCCTAGAAAGGGAAAATAGAACACATAGATGTTAAAGCCAGCATGGTTTGATTAAATGTATGGTAGATGTAGAGATGAATAATTCAGATTTTTTTCTTATGTTCACCAAGGCAGCATTTATTTGATCAAAATAAAGCAGTGAAAACATTTAAATATTATTACAATTTAAAATAACTGTTTTCTATTTTAATATATTTTAACATGTGATTTATTTCTGTGATGCAATGCTGAAATTTCAGCTCTCAGTGTCACATGATCCTTCAGAAATTATTCTGATTTTGTGCTAAATTATTATTATTATTAATGGGTCTTAATATTATCAATGTTGGAAACAAATTTTCCTGCTTATTTTCTGAATTCTTTGATTAATAAAATGTTCAAATGAACAAGATTTACTTAAAATCTTTTGTAAAAATATTTTATCTATCGCAAACTTTTGAATGGTAATGTATTACAATTTCCAAAAAAATTTAGTTTTAATATTAAGCACTGTTTTCAACATTGACAATAACAATAAATGTTTCTTGAGCAGCAAATCAGCATAGCCGAATGATTTCTGAAGGAACATGTGATACTGAAGACTGGAGTAATGATGCCGAAAATTCAGCTTTGCATTACAGGAATAAATACATTTTAAAATATACTAAAATAGAGAACTGTTCTGTTGAATTGTAATAATATCTCTCAATATTACTGTTTTTACTGTATTTTTGATCAAATAAATTCAGCTTTGGTGAGCATAAGAGACCTATTTAAAAAAAAACTGTAAAAATTATTCCAAACTTTTGATCAGTAGTGTATATCCAAACCTACAGAGCATATGAAGAACACATCACGTCGGCCTCACCCTTAAACCGCAAATTAAATTATGCGATTCGTCTCGGCACAATATCACACTTCATCCTTAACTGCTAAAAAACATTTTACCGAATCTAATTCTTCCAAAATAATCATGCCTATTAACATATGCCATTTTATTTGTTTATTGTTTTGCCCTGCTGAAATAGGCGCAATTTCAAGGTTATAATTAATCTACCGCTTGCTGTGGCCTCATCTGACCCATTTTGATTCCTTAGCCAACATTTATGTTTTACACAAAATATTTATCCCAGATATCGGTTTTAGTAACAATTACGCTTTGTTCGGTGTGCTTCCAAGGAACTGAAACTAACTGTGAAGCTCATGAGAAGAAGAAAAAAGAAAAGATTTTGTGCGGATATTGAATTGGGCGGTTTGAGTCTGTTAAATTGTTATATTTCATAACCTTTACGTGCGAAAGCCCGTTCCTTGTGACAGCAATTCCCCTTCAGTGAGAGACGTCTATCAGGGTCCACAGGCGGTCTGTTCTATCACGAAACCAGAATCGTGAGCTCAAGCGCAAAGCCCCTGGGGTGATCCGACAGTGAAATCAGGATGTCTAGGTGCAAGCTCAGCCGCACTGACGCACATACACGCGCTCGTCAACGACTTAACATTTCAATTAACTGCCACGCCTCAGTAAATCATGCTATTGGTAATAATTAGAGAAAAAAATAGTTTAGGTTGTGAGTGACTGCCCATGAAGATGCGGTAATTGGCTACTCATTCATACAAACATACATGAATGAAAGAATGTATGAATAATAAATAAATAAATAAATAAATATGCATGTTAGGGAGATTGGGGCTAGTTGTCACACCAGTTGTCTCAGTAACTACAAGGTTTTAAATGTTGGTTTCAAATATCTACTTCAAAACAAGTATTTTTCATAAAAATCAGATTGTAGTGAGTGGTCACGTGTTTTAAATGGTATAACTTACAGTAATATTGGCTAAAACAATGATTTAATATTACTATAATATTACTAATATTATTATTGTGCATTTCCATTTTGAGGTTTCATTAATAATTTTGTATTTCATAGCTGTTTTACTGTATTTTTTTTTTTGTTATTTAATGGCAAATTCCATTGTGACAACATGCCCCACTATAGGAGCATGCTGTCACAATAGGTCAACATGTGATAAATGAACTTTATTAATCAGCTAATAACAGAGGAAACTTACCTTTTTTGTAATAAACAATATAAGTTTGTGTCTATTCAAAAACCTATTCACCATGTGAAAACTGTGACAACTAGCCCCGGTCATTATTATATCTTTACAGCAGGCTATTTCTGATTAATCTAAAAAAAATCTACTAGCTGGTGAATACTATTGTATTAAGTTGATTCAGTCATATTAAATAATATATCTGACCTGATTAAAACCATATGAAGCACACTTTTACTGTAAGTTACCTGCCAAAACATTTTTACAGAGCACTCTATCCGTTAGCACATGAGCACAAGAACACATGACCATATCAATTACGATTACATCACATCCACATCAAAGACTCATGATGGGAATAAAAACTTACTGGAGACAAGTAGCTCTCATCTGCAGGTTAACCAAGACAAAACCTGCATCAACTGAGGATTTCGGTAAATTATTGACCTGGCTTACAGATAAATAAGTTCCTAGCAACAGTTTGAACGCCCATTCAGCAATTGCCTCATGTCAAATGCATGTCAAACATATAGCCTAAAAGGCTCACATGCACTAGGAAATTGCTGTGTCCAGTATTGCGGCGAGCCAGAGGGACAATAGCGCGACTTTAGAGAGATCTGGACATCACCAGGGAACAATAGCCAAACCTGCACAAATAGCCCAACTGTGCCTAAACAAGATGACCTGCTTATCAAGATCTACGTGCTCTGTCAAACAATCACCTCAATTAAACCCTTCCCAGATCAATCCCCAAAACAGACCCGGATTAACTGCATATATTCAGGTTAGATTATTTAAATAATTAAAATGCAAATACGCACCACAGACAAAAAGTTTGCATGTAACTCATAATGGATTAATAATAAACAGCACATATAACTTGCATTCATACTTGCTTCTCTCCAAGAGGAATTCTGAATAATTCAGACATTCCCACTCGGTAAAGCCCACATATTTGAATCCAGACAATCAATAAAAACATGAAAATGTCACAATAGTATGTTTACAGTGACCACAGTACAGCCAAACAACAAACAAATGCCCGTAAATGCAACTATTCCGTGCGCCTATTTGGTTACGCGTGGCAAAGTTGCACCAATGCAGCTAATGCATATGGGCAAATTGTCAAGCAGATGTAACACCGATCATTTAGAAAGTAAAACAAAATCTCTTTTGTCTCATCTCGAGCGATGTGTCTATGGTGACAGCGCGCGGTATGCGCCAACACGTCGCGTTGGTTAAGCACGTTCCCTTGTTATTTCACTGCCAACTTATTCGTCTTGGCTGGATGTCATTGTAACTTTGAACAGTCCTCAACAAAGTCTCATTCCCCTCCCTTTGATACATATAGGGCATCTGCATATTTGCAAACACAGGCGTCTTTTCATTCGCACCGCTCGTGAGCCGAGGGGAGCGTTCCGACTGTCCGAGCGGTCCGGTGCTCTCACACGCTGCGGAAATTTATATAAAAGAGAGAGAGAGAATAAAAGGTAAAAGAGCCAAACGAAAGCAAATGCTCACCCAGACTGAATTACCCTCGCTGTTCCCTTCAACAAAGCCCAAACACCGGCAGATACACGCAGAACGCACTTTGTCCGAGAGCGAGCGCGTGCGCTCCTCCAGCCTCTCGCGTCTCTCTATCCCACCTCCACATCCTCGCGCCCGGAGAAGAACATGCAAACACATTTCATAGATTTTTGGAGCTTCACACAAAAACCGAAGTGGACTTTCCGTCACGGAAAAAAAAAGAAATTAACCTTAAAGAGGTGTGGATGAGCGCGAGGGCTGTCGGTTTCTCTGTGCATATGAGAGTGGGATAATGAATGAAGTATAGTTTTGAGAGGGCTGGACATTCAGCCCATTGTTGACTCCATTCTTAATGGCTGTTGGCTGCGCTCGTGATTGATTTATTGTATCAGAACCTTTGCACATTCATGCTTTCCAGGAACTTGGGGATGATTGATATTTGAATCATATCAAATTAATTTTAATTCGTATTATTAATAATAATTTATGCATTAATTAAATCAACATAGACATACATTAAAGTTTTTATTTTTCATAGTATGCTTTTATTAAATAATAAATATTAATGTATTTTATTAATGCGTTTAATAACAATGTATTGTATTTGTTGTATATCATTGTTTTTATATTATAACATATTCACTTTATATTAACTGTTTTATGAATATCAAAGCAACTTATTAATGTATTTAATAGGAGTACCCATATTGTTTATATTAATTACTTATTATATTTTTTTATTAATTATTTTGTAATTAATTAATATCAATGCAATCTATTAATGTATTTTATAGGAATACCCATATAGTTTATATTATTTAATAACTTATATTTTTAGGCTATTTTTTAATAATTAATTAATATCAATGCAATTTATTAATGTATTTAATAATATGAGTACCCATAAACCCCTATAAAATACATTAATTTCCGTTGCTCTAACAGTCAGCGTATAAAGTGTTATTAATCTTTTTGAAGAAATCAAAGGGACTGGACTTGTTACCATAATCGTCGTGTTTCTGTGTTGATGACTTTCTCTGTGACCGAAGAGCCATTTTGCTGTGGGTCCATTTGTCCGTCCGTCCAGTCGCTCCTCGTCGCTTCGAGTCCACTCCACCTCTTGTGAGCGTCCTGTGTGTCTGGCAGGCGGCCAGCTGAAGTGTGGGGAAGTGACACCGCCAGGGCGGCAGAAATTTTCCTCCGTTTCGGGCTCCTTCCCAATCGCAGACGGGCGCGCGTGCATTGGCTGGAAAGTGGAACAGCTCGTCAGGGGCGATCAATGCGGATCGATCAGTGCGCCGCTGCTGGCTGCGGGTTTGAGGGGGGTTGCGTGTTAAAGTCCTCCACAACTGCATTAACGGGAAAGTTAAGGCTTGAGTAAAGTGACACTACTTTACGGCTTCACTTCCCATCATAGTTTTTTTGTTTTCTTTCATTTATCTGTATTCACAAAACGCTAAACTCTATTCTAAGAGTATGGGATTTCGTTTTTGCTTACAATACGTCCTGGGTTAATACCATGGTACTGTATCAACACAGATTAATATACCATGATATATGTCTCTGTCTCTCCAAGGCACTTCAAAAATAGGATAGTATTACCATCATGGTTATGTCCAAAAATATCGTGATACAATACTTTGAAATATACAGCGATTACCATACTAATATACCATGGAATTTACATCACAAAAGTATGCTAAAAAGTAGCCTACCATGGTACTAACATTTTTTTTTGTACACGTACGTGGTTGAGCTCAAATGTATGGTAGTATCCATATACCGTTTACATACTTTAAGGAATACCATGGTAGTTTCCCAAAACATGGTAATATCATAATACCCTGACATAAACCATTCTTGGAAGTATAATACAACTCTTTGGACTCATACCACAACTGTACCATGGTACAGCCACAGTACTTTTTGAAAGGAATGGGAATGGCACTTAATAGTATTTCAATGAATACCGTGGTATTATATCATAGTTGTGTCCAAAAACATATAAGTACTTTGGTAATTTGATATACTTGTATACCATGGTACTACGTGATTAGCTCATATATCATAGTATACAAGCCACTTGAAAGTACTTCAAATGTTTTATATAATTTACTTTAATTCATAAATAAATTATAATATAATTTATTAACATTTATGAATATAACTATATAATTCATTTATTTTTATATATTAAGTGAAATTATAATCTATATAATCTATATAGTGATATTAATTGTTTTTCCAATCAGTGTGAAGTGGACTATTCAGGGCAATATTCCAGAATGCTTGACTTGAGCCAGGTTTGTTTGTGAGCTCATCGATCAGACCTTTGAATCCTGAGTTGCATCATACCCTGAGTTCACCCTGGAGGACGTTCCTGTAGTATTGAGCTGGTATATCACTGGAGCTCGACGAGACGTCCCTGCTATGTGACAGAACACAGATCATCTCCAAATGAAGCCACATGATAGATCATTAAAATTAGGGCTGCACGATAAATCGCATGCGATGTTTAACGCGCATCTTATCAGTAAAGATCTAGTGGCTGTAAGCGGAACTGCAGCAGGGCGATCTCTAATTTCCTGTGTTTTGCAACATTACAGGAAGTAGATCACATTATCTCCCACATCCTTTTTTAAAACTCTAGCTGTTATAACCCTGCTTACTGAATATAGGAGTAAAAACCCAAACGACACAAGGGTGAATATTTCAAATTATGTTTATTCAAAATGCACATCTTTATCGTACAGCAAAATACACATGGCCTCCGAATTACACATCATGATAGAAAATATCTTTATATGCTGTTTTTAAACGGAACCTGGTTTAGTTTTACACCCAATATGGTAAAAACTGCACAAATGTTCAAGTCATAATCACTGAAATGTTAATTAAACTGTGCGTAGTAGTTCTGACCTCCTCTCATTCACATTCATCTGCTCTGTAGTGTCAAGATAGAGTATATTTATATTTATATTTAAATGATACGGTTTGTGTTAGAGGCGGAGAGAAAGACCAAGCGTAAAACCACACGTTTACAGGAAATACAGTATGTTTGCTGATGCATGTCTGCAGTGCTACAGGAAGTCCTCGTGTGAATGAGCGCGAATGATTATTTTGTGTATTTGGTGTAATAAAATGTGTTTATGCGGTTTAAAGTAAAAAAAACACATTATTTTCCACATACTGTACATTATTGTTTCTCCTCTATGCCCCGCCTTTTTGAAACGCAGGAAATTAAATATACAGAAGTTTGTCTGTGAGGAGTTTGTCTCCTCTCACCCAGGGACCCAATCGAGTCTGGCGGAACCATGTTAGCATCCAATTCAACAAGAGCAGGAAAAAGAAGAAGAGGAAAAAAAGCAACCTAAGAGTTACAAGGGTGGGTTGGGGGAGAGAGAGAGAGAGAGAAAAATTAAAAAAAAAATAAGACACATTTTCCTTTAATTAACTGCTATGATTTTAAAAGAATTCCTTATAGATTTTATACAAAAAGATAGCCAGCATACCCCTCCCTTCTCTGCAATAAAGAAATAAAGAAAAAACAACAACTTCCTGATCCAATGTACAGTTGGAAGCCCAGGAAATGGAAATGAAAAAGCAAACTGTAAAAAACATCCCTCTATGTCCAGACTATCACAAATTGCAGGGAGAAAACAAAATAATATAGCCCTCCCTTCCCAGTTCTTAAAAACAACAAGGAATGCTTTTAGAGCCATAAACATCTTCTACAGCAAAACTGATACGGGCTGATTCTAAGCAGCGGGTACGTCGCTATAGCAACGGAGAAGGTAAAGCAGGAGCTGTGGAGTGGATGTTTGAATTTGAGGAGGAAAAGGGGCTACAGTTGTAGTTTGAGTATGTACACCATGGCTGCCAGAAGGCTAAAAGTGGGGGGAGGTGCTCTGGTGAGGGGAGGCGTGGCTTAAAGAAAACACTCCAATGGAAACCAACAAGATCGTTTTTTTCTTAAGCTTTTTTCTTTTCTTTTTTTTAATCTTTTGAACGTTCAAAATCTCCCCTAACCTTAAGATGGAGAGGTGTATTTTTCTCCCATCATGATTCTAACTCCAAAACTACATTGCATACTTTTGTGTCCATTCCCGAGCTATTCTGTTGTACCTGTGAAGGAAGAGAAATAAAAACATTACCATCACATCAGTAAAGAACCATTTTGGTTCCCCAATGAACCTTTCAGTGAACAGTTCTTAAGAGAACTATTTTTTTTCTTGTGTGAAGATGTTAAATATCTAAAGAACCTTTTTCCACTATATAAAGAACCTTTTATGCAACAGAAAGGTTCCATTGATGCTAAAGTTTCTTCATGGAACCACAGATGCCAATAAAGAACTCTTATTTAAGTTTAATAGGTAATGCAAACTTTGCAAAAAACCTGTTGTTGAAAGATGGGGCAGATAAAAACTATATTGGAATTAAATATCAGTGTGGGAAAGTAAATGGCCGAAAGAATGCCGTTTCTGAGCATGTATGTGAAGTACAAATGAACGTCTCAAATGGTTAAAGAAAAATGTGAATCGTCCCCTCTGACACGGTCAATAGCCCTCTTCATGTATTAAGGGAAACTTGGAAAAAGTTGGGCATCGCCAGCAATTTACAATCTATTATAAAGGAACTCTTCAGTATTCCCTTGAGTTCTTACAAGGTCCGGCCCTCAGCCTCAATTGCATTTTCCACCCACATTTGCTAATAAGAGTAGTGTAAAACAATAAAGATCTAATAGGAGTCTGCTGGCATTTAATTACCTTTTCTGTTGAATTTGATCATAATCATTCTCCAGTTCAATTTATTACACCCAGCTCAGTCTGGTTTAGATAAAATAAAACACTGTTGCACATTGAGCTATTGAAACCTAGTTTTTGGAATTGCAGCAAGCTGAAAACATTTTCACCTTGTCTCTACTTCAGTCAGCTTCAAAGCTCAGCAACAATAAAAGTAAATTATTCACAAAACAGTTCTTTAGAGTGTCAGCGTATAAACACAACAACCCCAGGGAAGAAGAAAGGTGACAAATGTCAAAACAGGAAACTGCGTAGACAATAACTTAGCTAATAATGCTAACTTAGCTAATAAATGACTGCATGACAGCACCTAGGGGGAAAAGCATTAGGGCAAACACAGTGTGCAGTAGTGGTCGACCGATATTGGTTTTTTGACAGCCGATGCCGATACCGATATCTTGGAAAGCAGGGTGGCCGATATAATTTTATTCATTTTAATTAAGATTTAAGAAATTTGAAATTATTTGAAAATTGATTAAAAAAATAAATGTGTTAAATAAACATACTTATACATTAGATGACAAAGTATTTTTCACAAATAAATAAATATTTAATAAAAATATAATTAAAAAGGAAGTAAACACTGTAACCAACAGGGCACTCAGTATTCTGGGAAGTTTGTGTGCATTAACCATATTTTTTTCAAATAAAGCCAAGGTAACACTCATTTTACATACAGCACACAGTGAAAATGACATGAATATGACAGCGGGCAAA